GTAAATGATCATTAATGTATGCACGCGCGTTTCTGTTTCCCAAAACCTCCTCGCCCTCTTTCTGTCACACGTTAAACTCACGCACACGCCAAAAGCATCAGCCAGCCGACCCTTCGTGCATAATAATAATTTTTCCACGCTAAACAATCCCATTTTAACGCCTTTCTCTCTCTTTCTCTCTCTCTCCCTCTTTATCTCTCTTCTCATTTTTAATACACAATGCTACGTGGATCGAGCAGATATGATGCTACGAGTTCACAAATAGTAAAAACAACCGACAGTACGCGTATAATCAAAATAATATACTAGCGATCGCCAAATTACACGGAGCTACAGTGGATGGAAAGGGAGTTAACATTTGGGAGAAGAATTCCATCCGTATTGAGTTGTTCACCAACAGGTTAAGAGTCAAGGTATTTTTCAATCGCAAAAACTTATAGAAATTCCGTATGTGAAACCCAACAATAGACCCCAGATTCTTTTGCGGTTATAACGGTATTGAGCTTTAATCCGGATTTAACCGACACCTGTTTAGTTTGAGTTTAATAATACAATATATAAAATCGCGCCGTCGACAAGTGCATTTTCCCACGGAAAATCTCATTAGATTATTTGTACTTAATAATAAAATGGTACGAAAAATATTGCAACTAGTGCTAGTTATACAGGAAAATTTAGTGCCGACACCCAGGTCGAATTTCTCTTATATTTTTCAAAACCCTGCAGGTATCCGCATTTCAGTCCGATAGTTATATAGAAGGTAAATAGAAATATTTATAAAAAAAATACTGATTTTTATCATTGTTATAAATATTTTAGATTCTAAATTGAACAAGAATTATATTGGCTTTATTACACACATCATTTTTTTTTGTCTGTCTACACGAATTCAAACAGAAGGAATATTCCGATGAGTACCAAATAAAAATTAAGGTATAGGAAGTGAATTATATTGTTATATCAAGCGTCTCTAGAAATTAAACTAATCTATTCGATCTCTTTCACTTAAAACTGTTTTTTCGGTATCAATGATAAATATACTAATGATCAATAGATCTTGAGTTTAAAAAATCAATATAGCAATACCCTTCACCGATTCCTATATTTTAAACAACCTAGGAGTTTTGCCTTTTTTGTATTACTTTTATTTAATTAATTATTACAACTTTACAATTTATTAAAATATGCTAACATAATATAACATACTAGGGTACATTGGATGAAATACAGTATTAAATTAAACAATTTTAGTAAGTTAATAAGCTTGGAATAATGACAAAAGGTAATTTTAATTTAATCTGAATTTCTGATAAAACTTGGTAGTATTCCGTTACTTTATACATTCATGAACTGTATCTCGGAATCACTTTAAATATTTACAACAATACTGTAATCCTCAAGATATTTTCTACAAGTTCTCATATATATTTAATTCCGTGTATTCTATCAGTTATATTTGTTAAAAAGATAAATAAAGTATGCAATAACGTGGTTATATAATAATTTTTTTACTATATATTTTTTTATTGATTTTGGTGCATTTTTTCAAACTCGATATTCTTTTTATTGAATATTATCACGTTTTTAAACAATTTTTTGTAATTTTATTGAGTATAAAGCACATAATTATTAGGTTTGATAAACTATTGCATTTTAAAAAATTTACAAAAATATGATTATTTATTTCATTTTTATTTTTATATGCATTAATTATAGTTTATGTTTTTTTACTTTATCAAATCAATATATTCTCTACATAATTACATAAGGTAATCATTATAACATTCCATTACTGATTAACATATAATTATTTATCGTTTTAATTTTAATTTATAATTTACGACGTGTAAGTATATTATTCATCAACTTTTTGAGTAAAATTCGATATTTTTCTAATTAATATTTTGTGGTTTTTATAGATTTTATATTATATTATATTCCTTATGCTTATAATATAATAATAAAAATGAAAAATAAATGTTTATCATAAAACGTAATGGTGTTTTTAATTATTAAAATGTCATAAAGAGATTAATAACTACAAAATGTTGTTTTGAAATTAATAATGATAACGAAATTTATTAAAAAGTACACGAAACATAATTTAAGTCTTTATGTATTATAAACTCGAATTTTCATTCACGCGCATGTACACCGAATTTTAATTTTCAAAAATCGACCGTAATAGTTTGATTATTGAAGTAAACGTTTGCGTCTACTGAAAATCTAACGTGCATGTCGTACCACATTAATTAACAGTCCCGGTATTTTCATTCGAAAACAAGTCGATTAATTATTCGAATACGCTGTTTTCGGAACCGATCGTAATCGGACGTAATCGTTTCAGTTACAGGTGCAGTGGAGTCGGTGACCGGGTTTAAATGTTGAGCACTGTTGATCGGAGGGGTTTCAATAAGAAATAAAAATTGATCTATATAATAATCTTATCTATTTCTTCGATACCGACATGTTAAAATGTACGAATAATAATTGTATACGTATGAGTTGAAAACAAATGACTAACGAACGTTTTTATATCGTTTCGTATATGATGTCGGAATCATTATTGAGCGTTTAATAACAGAATGTTTCCGATACGCTAAAAACGTATTTTTATTTTTTGTCATTAGAAAAACTTGGCCCCCGCATCCGTTGCATTGCATTCTGTCTAAATCCGACATCGAGAAGACACTGATTTTCGAACCCGAATCCTGGCACGATATCGTCCCTCGACGTCTGCAGGATGATTGCGCAACAGTATTCGTCCGCCGAATCGCGGACTGCCCGAACAGGCGGACTTGAAAAACCGTGGATTCGCGATGGTCGCGTGAAACGAGCGAACCCCTCGACTCTGGTCAAACGGTTCCGGTTCGTTGTCCGCAAACGTTTGTAAGACAGCGCGTTGTTGATCGTGTTTTGTACGCGCGTCACACGATGATCGGAACCGTCTCTCTCCCACCGGTCACCGGTACGCGCCTACTGCGGTGCTGCACTTGAACTTGACCGACAGCCGTCGGACCGGCGGCCTTGCACCTCGTCGCACCGTTAAACGTGAAATGCGACCGTAAGATAGGAAATAAGAAAAAATACGACGTTACCGGGTAGCCGGTTTCGTTCGGACCGCCGCAAGGACGACGCGCGCTAGTAATGCGACCACGGTCACGGCTGCGACCGCTCTCTATATACGATATGTGGAACAACAGCGGCGGATCGAGGTGACCCGTTCGTGTGCACGCGTGTGCCACTTTTCCCAAACGCGCGCGGCTCAAAAATATTATTGTACGCATTGCTCTCCGTTATAACGTATATATGTTTATTATTATTTTTTTTTCGTAACACGTAATATAATGTGTGTGTACGGGGACAAATAACTGCGTACGTTATTTTAAACGCACGTGGCAAAGACTACGGGGAGCCGTTAACGAGCTGTAAAGTCTAGGTCACTTAGATCTTAATCACTTTACAAGCTATTTTTTTTTTTTTTTTTAAGTGACTTTAAACTTAACGAGTTCGATTTTTTTTTTCCGTGATATTCAGCTACCCATCAGCGAGTTAATTTTATAGACGCATTAAGTTTATTCTTTCCTAATTGAAATCGCGGAGATTGAAAATAAAAATAAAATGTTTTTCGTGCAATTTTTTTTTCTTTTAATAAAATCAATCGGGCTTATAATTGTAGAAGAATCGAATACACTAATTTTAGATTTCAATACGAGTCAAAACAACATTGTTATCAAAACAACGCTTTTGTACAAAAATTTTAAAGACATAATTTTTTTTTTTTTTCTTATAGCTTTTACAAGTCAATAACAAATATAAATCTTAAATTTAAGTCTCATATTTTTCGGAATTCACTTAAATGCAAAGGTGGACAATAATAAGTTATTTTATTTTCAAAAACACTTTTTGACTTAATTGTTTAACTGGCAATTGAAACAACTTAGCTTTTCACAGTTGATTTAAAAAAGATCTATCAACTTAAATATTTTATAAATAAATATTATAAAAATTGAATAATCATGTAAAGTAAAATGATCGCATACACTGTACATCAGATGTCATATTAGATTTTGTAGGTTGGATGCCCATCTTTGGGTATAGAGTTTTGGCCGTGGATACAAAATGTTATGTATAAAGAAATTTTACTATAAAGATAAATAAATACGGTAGTGGGTAGCTCTTGATGTACAATGCCATAGTATTTTTCAAACACTTCGGTACCACTGCTGTATATTACAATAAAAAATTCAATAAAATTGTTTATTATAATTTAGGAAATTATATCTTTCTAAAGAACGGAGTCTTTTTGTATGTGATCTACATACTAATTAAAAAAAGTAGATAAACTTTTTTGAACTAAGTTAATATTTAACTTAACTAACTTAATTTAACTCGAGTTAATTATTTTCATTAACTTGCCAACCTTTGCTTCAATGTATAAAGATTAAAAATTAGTCAACTTGTCAAGCCTTGCTAATAACGGAAGAATCGCACGGTTTAATCGTATTTTAAACACAAATATGAAATCATGTAGAAAAATAAATTTCCTATTAACCGACGACAATAATTACAAGACTGAGTGTGTGACACGCATACCATGTGCCTACGAACCTAACTAGGGAGTTTTCGACAGGCAGTGTATGCGTCAGTGTTGTCCTTAGACCCATTAATTGGGGGCGGGGGGCAGTGAACATTATACATTCAAATTTATATACTGTCCTAGTAAGATATAAATAAAAACAATTCGAAGGAAAAATAAGCCCATGCGGGGGATTGCCCCATTTGCCTCCTTATGGACGCCGCTAGGTCGAGAGCTGAACACAAGGGATCGCATCTAACCATTGTCGCACACCCGGATTACAATAAAGCATTGTCATGCCCACGAGAGCAGTACATTTTATTCGCCATCGCCACGCCGTTTCGATGTAATTATATGTTATAATTTATAACGCAACGGTAAAATCGCGAAACTTGCGGTACACAGCGACCGCGGTACGTACCTCTTCCGACGGCCGCGGAACGGCCGCCTAACGAAGGCCACGGCCAGCTTCGGACGCCGCACGCCAGCAGCACCGTCACGAGTCCGTGCAACAGCAACGGTCCGGACGACCGCGTTACCGGGTTCATGGTCGGACGACGAGACGGTCACCGGCACCTGGTTGGCATCTGGAAACCGATGGCGGTCGTCAGCAGCCGTGCACCGGGAAGCAGACGGGCACCGTTAATCGGCAAACGAGTGCGGACAGGAATCACTGAGATCGCGCGTACACTTGACTCGGTGCCGGGCGAAACTTTTCGATCAAGAGCAGACGGACCGCGCGCCGATGACCGGACGGAACTGAACTCCGAAACGCCCGCGCCGACGCGTGCCGGTGTGGGAATACCGGTTCCGGTGCTGTCACCGCCACCGCGGTATTCGTGCGGTTACCTATGTGGTCGTCACGTTTTCTTTTATTTTCCCCCGTTTCCCCTCTATACGCGTTCGTCCGTTTCCGCGCTTTAGCGCACGTAATCACGGCACGTCTCGCGCGCATTGTTCGGTCGATGCTCGGGCGCGGCCGCGGTCTCGTTTTGGAAATCCGTCGGCGACCCGAAAAAAAAAAAACGGATTGTTGCGCGTATTCGTTTATGCCGCGTGCACGACACGGATGAACAAAAACGTGTGCAACGCTATGCGTCTTGTCGTGTTCGGTTTACCGTCCGCGTCCGAACGTCATAACCAGGGCTCGGGAGTTAAAGCATTTGTTTATTTTTATGGGTTGACTTAAAATATAGCAGAGTGCTATAGAAGTGTATGTCAAGTTATAACACGTACAATTATAAAATTTGAAAATGCCATTTTTTGCTTTTTTCAGCAGTTTTTCAAAAAAAAATGCTTATTTCCAGTTTTTCTGATTATTTTTGCTTCTTTGACAAGTTTTTTTTTTTTTTTTTATACGTTTTTACAGTTTTCTCCTACAAAGCCGTTTTGATAGAATTAAAATTAAAAATAATTTTTATCTACGTTATCACATAGTTCGTCGCCGTCTAAGGCATCGTCGTAGGGTAAACAAAGATATTCCAACGCTCAAAATAGAACTGAGTGTCAAACGTCAGAATGATCAAGAACAGAGAGAATAGTTAACAATTCGTTTTTCAGAAAAATCCCTTAGAAAATCCATAAAATCTTTAAAGTTATGAAAATAAAGATTTATTTATATTTTGTTTGATATTTTAATTAGAATTTTATAGTTTTTTTTTTTTTAATGAATATTTTTGCTTAATTTGAAATTTTTTAAATGCTTATTTTAGTGCTTACAATAATGTTTTTAAACGCTTTTTTAAGCACTTATTTTAATGATTTTAAGTACTATAAGTCCCGAGCCCTGGTCATAACTGTTTACCGTGCGCGCAGTTTCTCCGGTCGCCCAACGAAATCGTGTGTTCGTTGAGTTCACACTCGGAAACGTTTCCGAATGGAAAATGAATACCGTCGCGCGGGTGAATTCCTAAGGGGAATTTACAGGGTTCGATCCCCACTCTTTCCAGTTCAGGAAAAACTTTTTCATGACAAACCATCACCATGTGATAACTACATCATCATCGAATGCAAACAATTTCAGTGTTTCCGAATATAATTCCATATCTCCGAACAAATCTGTAGAGCTCCAGGACCGATCCCACAAGGTACAAGAAACCTAGTTTAATTCCTAAGAAAATCTAATATCTAATTAAGAAAAAAAGGTTATTAGTATATGTACCTATATATTCTAATTTCTATGTTTTCAATGTATTTTTGATTAGTAAAAAAGAATGGTACATTTAGTTCATATGGTGAAAAAAAAAACAATTTTTTTAAACAAAAAAACAAAAAAAAATTAAAACTATTATTTTCATGTTTGATGATTGTATTTTATTAACTGTTACTGATCGTTGATAAAACGTTTATATTTGTAATCAGATTCAACAACAGACAAGTTATTTCGAACTTCTCTCCTAAAAACTTACAAGATCTCTATTATTTCTGTTTGACTTTGATGATTTTTGTGTTCATTTAAGACTCGAACACAACTTATTTTTGGTAAACAGTCTCTTTGGAAATGTTCGACATAATAAATATATTTTCACGGACTTTTAACCCATTTTAAATTGATATTCCACCAACAATGTTCATATATTATTATTATATGTAACATATTCTTATTATAGATCAGTGTCGTATTTACAAACAATTTGGTTGGGGGGTAACATCATATGTTTTTCTTTTATAAATCAGTATAAAATGGTGAAAATTAAATTTTTATCTGTTTTATTATCATCTTATTGAAAATAAAAAATATATGTTGTGTTTTTTGTATTATTAGCCAGGTGGTCTCAATAGCGGTGAGACACTGGACGGAATAATTATTAATACATTTTAAATTTTATGGTAATTGTTTAAAAAGTGAACTTAATTTAATAAACAAATTGTGCACCGAACCACATGTAAGATTATTGATGTTTTCGCTACAATATATCATACGTATTATTAATTTTATTTTTTGTTAATTACGAAAATAAAAGATAAAAGAAAAATAAAATAATATATATATATATATATATATACATATAATATGATAACAAGAATAATAGAAGAAAAACACGAGTAAAATTTGGCTACCAAAAATATCTAATCATTATTAAATTTTTAAGAAAAATGATCGATATAGTAGTAGATATAGCAATAATAATAAATCTTATTCCAACTATCACCACAATTAGTAGACAACAATTTTCCGCGATCTACAGGCTACAGCAATAAGCATTAGCCTGTGAATTGTATAAACTGTATAATGTGTTTTGATTTGCACAGTTGAAAATATCAATAATATTGATGCGTAAATTTGAAATTTTGAAATTTGTTAATTTTGTAAATTTTAATAAAGGAACAAATTTCAAATTGATCGACATTTAAAAATTTGAGGTCTGGAAGTTCTCTGAGGGGAAGGGGAGGTGAAAACCCCAACATCCCTCCGTAAATACGTCACTGCTATACATTTGATAACGTCGAAATCGTGCTTAATAATCGTTTATAATGTTGATTATATAACCCTCAATGTGATAACACATTATGCGGCATACTGATTACGATCACCAATATTAATTACGAATATAATTACATCCGGTTGAAAATTTCTAACACCGCAAGCCGAGTGTCTGTAATTAAATAACAATACTCAATTAATAACGTTTACCGTAATTATATTAAGCATCGAGCAACGACCACTGTAGTATTGTGTTAAAATGTATATTCGGTATCATAACGATGTGTCGTCGGTTTGCATTATTTTGCCCGTAGTTACGTATATACAAAAATTCTTAATGCTCTTTTTTTTTTTTTTTTTATTTAAATTACAATTTGGATTCAGTGGCCGTAAGTTGTTTTTTTTTCCCATAGAGAACTACATTATAGCGTCTATTTAATACATAAATTAGCGTAAAATATTAATATTTTTATTTTCTTAAATCAATTTATCAAGTTTGATATCCTTGATGAAAGGGATGAGGTTCACAGTGAATTGGATTAGACCGATGGCTTCGTACAGATTAGTTGGGATATTAAATTTGATTTTTTTCGGTGTAGTATGAGCGGCAGTCTATTATTATATACTTAATTGATAATATTTCATAGTTATGAAGTGCGTGTTGTTGGTTTCTCTTCGTCTCTTAGATGATCATTTGTTAGACGAGTATGACTGACTTTTAATCGGTTGATTTTTGTGTTTATTTCTCTGGATGTTTGAATTCGATGTCATGATTCTACGCTTTGTTTGTTTGTTTGACAAAATCATTTTTTTCAAAACTACTACATTATTATAGTATGCTCACATACTTTAGTACACGTTTCTTACGTACAAACAACACATACACAACTCTATTGTAATGATGCAGTATAATAGGGTTTTCAATTATACACTTCGTATTACGAGAATAATTTAACTAAGCGTTCTAGTATAACACCGCTGTTAGATTTTCTGTATTGTATCAAGCCAGTAAACGATATCCATTCGATTGCGAAACGAATTGTGAAACAACGTTGCTGCAGCTGGGAAGAATGACAACAAACACGTTGTCACGGCGCACTCGATAGACAAACAAACGTACATTTTATTATGAAGGTATTTTGTATTCTATTAAAGTTCCGTACTGCTATTATTGTATAAAAAAATCGTGTGACATGTCGTTATTAGATCGATACCTCGACCAAGTCCAAAGGGTATTTACTTCAAAAAGAGATAGAGAAAGACAGATATTTTTGTTTTATTATTTAAATTTTTCAGGCACCCGGTAAACGCATTACGGATCGATTCCTATACGACAGTTTAGGTGTACTTATATATCATGCAATACGTCGCGTAGCAAAAAAAAAAACGACGGTGAGAGACGAAGTGCTTAAAGTAGCGACAACGGTCTCAGAACTGACAGCATTGGTAAACGGATGTACAGTATTGGCGCCGGGAAAATGGTCCCGATGGAAAAACGTCGGTGTCGGGCAATCGGCGATGGCTCCGTACGCGGACAATTGATGCCCAAAATGGATTGTTTCGTTCGGAGTTGTTTTCAACTTTTTTCAAATTTTCGATTTTCGGTGCAAAAATTCGACCGATAATTTGCGCGAGTAACGATCGATCGGTACGGGGAACATAATACAGGCGGCTCACGTACAGATATGTGTAACGATGTTAGGCAATTTTCGTTTTTCGGCCTAGCTAATAAGCGAGTTAAAATAAAAAAAAAAAAAAAAAAAAATCATCGGAAATATCACTCGAAAATATATGAGCGTTCGTATAATGCGTATTAATATTGTTACCGCAATGCGCTGTCCGTGATCTCAATAATTGGTTAATTATTAAATGTTAAATATTAATGTTGATAATTATCAACATGATACGGTGCGCTGCGAGTTCGCGGACAAATCGACATTCGACACTGTTTCCGAAAATATGTCTTTTGAATCGATTGTACTGTTCGCGGAGTAAACAAAACGATAATCGTTCAACTAATCCATTCGGCAGCCGCTGTTGACCGCAATGATCGACGGTTTCCAAAAAACGTGCAATTGTTGAACGTAATAATCGCGGTCGTGCGCGCTCCGCGACAGTCATCAGTCATCTGGGACAACAAACGCGGTCGACAGAATTTAAAACTTGTTTTTCCAATCCCTCGCCGTACACGATTCGCTATAACGAGCTTAACGTTATTCTGTACTGTGTCAAAAAGAATCGCGAGAGGATAAGAGGAGGATGTAGCGCAATGTCTCGCATTTCCGTAAAACGTATAATGATACATAATACACGTGCGGTGCATGTAGTATAATATTTCACATAAAGTTTCTCTCGCCAA